AAATTGAGCGCTGGTGCAAATTTTAGACCTGAATTCTATATTATGGATTCATATAGCTAGAAGGGCTTCTGGCCTATGATTGGAATCTTTCTAGATATCTTTTTCGAATTTGACCCTAGAACCCCCAATTTTGCCCTACTACTTCTTATCAGTTATGGGCCAGGTGTTATCAATTCAAAGACTTTACGGCTGGCATTCAAAGCACACAAAGGGTCAAAGTTATAAACCATTTGATTAAAGAAGGTGCTAATAGTTCATCTTCGCTATGTAACTTACATGATCAAACATAAAGATTATTAGACGATGAAGCAAAATAGGCTCAGCATAATACATATCTTTATAGTCTTCCAACTAACCAGGTGTCATCAATTATCGATTCCATATTTTCTAATATTAATAAATTAATGAAATGTTATCTAACTCTGCATATCCTATCAGTCCAACATCAATAAATTCTCAGGTCTTTATTATATCATGCTAAAATTGTTTTGAAAGAAGTAATCGATATTGCAAAGGTAAGTTATATTAAAAGCGAAAAAGATGTTGAGGACAGGATTAAAAAATTAGAAAATAGGAAAACTTGAACTTACAAATTTTTTATTAGTATAACGATCAGCACAACTATGGTGATGGATTCTTCAAAGATCAATTAGATAGGCTGCAAACATCCATTTTTTTTCTATTGAAAAGAATCCAGTTATCCAATATCATAGAAATTTAGGAACTTACTGATCTTACCAAATCATATAAGCATTATGTTATTTTACTGATAGATGGTGATTATTTATGCACGTGTTTGGCTATAATTAATCGTGAACTTGTATGTTCGCATTTTTTCCATGTGATGATGAATTCTAAGATCGCAAAATTTAACATACATCTTATTGCAAAGCGATAGTATCTAGAAGATATTCAAGATAGAGATGATCAAAATAATTTGCAATATGAATATATGGAAATAGAAACACAATTCCAACAAGATAGTAATAGTAATCACGAATTATTAGTAGCCGATTTACATATTCTTAATCAGCTTAGAGCACCAGATACATTCACAGCTGATGTTAAACAACGCGTACAAAGAAAAGAAAAATATGCATATAGGTTTAGAAAGATAAAAAAGCTCTTAATTTAGCGCTGGATTTAGGTTGTGAAACTGAATTTATTGATATGGTTAATGGATTCATCAATTGTAAGAAAAATGATATTGATGATACAAATGATGAAAATAAAAAAAATTTAAGCGTGTCTGATCCTTTGGTTTGAAAATAGCGTAGACGTCCATCACATAAACGTATCAAATCGGCATTAAAAAATGCACACCATAGCATTAAAATTAGTGCTCTTAATCCACCTGATCCTAATTTACAATCTTCATCAAGAATCCCTTTACACACTTATGATGTTAGCAATTATGGACAAGATAATGATTATATAGCACTTGATGATATAGGTGAAAATACAAGCAAATAAAAATATATGCAAAGTTTGTGGGGAATCCAGTTATAATGCTAGAAATAAAGCAAAATGTGTCAAACAGGATCAGTAATAATAATGTATTGCTTTAAATAAAATTTTGATATATATATATATATTTTTTTTTAATAAAATATATTGAAATACGTAACTTAGTATGATCATGTGACTTAATATGATCACGTGATATCGGTGATGATCACCCCGGTTATGGTTAGTAAAATTCTTATAATATTCTTAAAATTATCAACATAGATATTTAGTTTAAGTAAAATAAGCTGATCTACTACTTTTTTTCTAATTTTATAATATTGTTAACGTGCAATTCTTGCGAATTACGACAGTTAGACGGGGTGTTCGAGTGGTGAATCTTTTAAAGTTT